TGTGAACAGGCGCGACGCATTCTAGCATCCGCTGTGTAATACAAACACACACACACACACACACATATGTATCAAGGCCTTTGATCTCCAAACAGGTATCCAAGAGATGAATCTCCACCTGGTGCAGACTTAACCTTCGTCGATGGACGACCCTGCAACCATACGTAGATACGTACAAATATCGGAGGTCGATTATATTATAATTAATTTAGAATAAAAATGATTAAATCGAGATTTATGATGTCATCATGAAGTATTTTACTTACAGTGATGAAATTTCCAGAAATTTGGCCTTGGACCCTAGGGTAGTTATTATTGTTATCATTGTTGGGTATAGCATTTGTTATTTTATGATCTTGAGAAGCGGAAGAAGGATTCTCCGGCGGCTTTTCGTTGTCTGTATCGGTCGCGTAAGGAGGCTTATATGCGGTGGTCGGAGATGGCGGTGCCGCCTTGTTTTTCTGCTTATTATTACTGTCGGAACCGAAGAGGTAACCTAATGAACTCTGCCCACCGCCATAGCTTCCTCCTCTTTTCATCTTAATTTAATACTTCTTCGAATTCTTGGGGTTCTCTGCGTGTGTGTGTGTGAGAGAGAGAGAGAGAGAGAGAGAGAGAGAGAGAGAGAGAGAGAGAGAGAGAGAGAGAGTGAGTTATGCAGATGATCAATCAAGGAGCAATGGATATATATATATATGTGGCAAGGTTCTAAATATCGGTTATTGGGTACGAGGCGGTTAGGGACCGCCACACGATAAATCGGTGCGGCGGTGATTAATCGTAGATATATTGAAAATAAATCGGATTTTAGATTTAGTAAAATATATTTTTAAATATTATTTGTTAATGCTTAAAACGTATAAAAAAAATTGAACTTGATTCTCTCCTCATCGTTTGTATAATCTAATCACGTAACAAAAGTTTAACATTTAGAGAACTTGATTCTCTCCTCATCGTTCTAAATGTTTTTATTTTTAGGCCAGGTTCTTCAGTGTAATATATTTCTAAATATTATTTGTTAATATTTAAAACGTATAAAAAAAATTGAACTTGATTCTCTCCTCATCGTTTATATAATCTAATCACGTAACAAAAGTTTAACATTTAGAGAACTTGAGTCTCTCCTCATCGTTCTAAATGTTTTTATTTTTATGGCAGGTTCTTCTTACGGGATCGGTGAGTTTGGGTTTGATTGAAAGAGATAATGGATTGGAATTGAAAAAAAATAAAAATAAAGATAAACACTCTATTTTCCTTGTAATAAAAAATAAATAAATAAAATTAGAAAAAAAAAATATTTTTCCGATATATCGCTCGAAGTTTGACCCAATATATCGGTTTGACCCGCCACAGACCGCCACAAACCGCCTCGGACCGCCTCACCGTCAAAAAATGATTTTCAAAACCGCCACATAAATATCGTAAAGGTTTATACCCGCCACCAATATATCAGCCGCCACAACCGATATTTAGAACACTGATATGTGATAACTGTCACGCATAAAATTATATATAGATGCAAATGAAATTTAGCAAACACAGTTGAAACCCCGTACAACAGTGAGTAATTAGGTATGTGATTAACAAGTATCCGATGCACTTATTACTTATTAGTTTTGCTTAAACACATATGTAATTGATATGATTACCACGTTTAATATAATGTTTATTAGTACTATTTATTGTTACTAATCAAAAAAAGTACACACAATTCATTTTAACGTGTATCAAAAAAAAAAAATCACATTTAACCATTCATTGCATTAATTTAAGGGAAATTAGCAAAAGGTCCCTCAACGCTATTATCGTTGCACAAGACCTCTATTATTTATTTTTCTTACATTTTTTTTTGAAAACCTATACCACAAGGACCAAACCGAGACATTTAAAATGTCCGCGAGTTTGGGTACGCCGGAGGAGATCGAGTTCGTATTCTTTCTAAATAAAAATGATGTCGTTTTACCTATCTTACATAGTATCGTATACAACATTTAGATAGAATGATACATACATTACTGATTTATGAAAATAATTCACCTATTTACTACTTATGTGCTTAGCTTTTGTTATATAATTTTCTTCGCTATCAAAATTGTATGAAAAATATGACGATGCTTGACAAATGAATTCGAATCGAAGATGCATGTGAATTTTTCAATGCAGAACTATATAAGTCGTCTTGATACGAAGTATATTTGAACGCACGAAAAGATGAATGGTGGATCTTTACCCGATCGAATCAACCATGTTGCGATTTATCATAATAAATATCTTCCTAGAAACATGGGGGATATTGTTGCACATTGGAGGTTAAATTAAATAATAATATGACAATATTTACTGCAATTAAAGTTGGAAAAGAAATCCCATTTTTGTATGATATATAATCAATGATGGGTGTGACATGTGATTTTAACTATCATCATCATCATATATCACATCAGTTACAACAGCAACAAGATTAGTGAGTCATGGCTAATTGTTAACCACATTATTTTGAGCCTAATTGATATTTTAATTAGTGGGATTAAAAAGATGGGGTAGCCCATTAATTAATTATAATTAAAAAAACGAAAAAGCAATTAGTTATAGCTTTTGATTGACAATCCATCAATAAAATTAAATTAAAGTGACCTGAGTAATGGAAATTAATCTTTTCCATAGTTCGGTTGGAGAGGAGCCTGTAGGGCAGTCAAATTAGACATAGTCTTCATCACCTGTCAATAATTTCAGATGTCGGGATGTGATAAATGTCGTTTTAGTGTTGATGATAATGTCTCGACTTCAGATGCAGTGTTGATCATTTTCAAGGCTTAATTTGGCAAAACTCAACACACGAATTTTGGAGTTCTTTGAGTTAGCTGTCTAATCCAATTTGAATCACCAAGATTAGATGTCGGTTTATTAAGATAGGACTGAATCAGTAAACATTGCCCTATAACTCAAATATATTCAATTATACATAACTTTGTCACCCAGTATTCAATTTGGCTGATTCTGATTGAATTTGAAAGTTGGTTCAAAGGATTACAATTTCCGTCTTTTGAGTTTTGTCAAACTCAAACTAGAAAATGGTCAACATCAAGTTCGAAATTAAAAACGTTGTCGGTTAAATTAAAATGACATTTAACATTATAGATAGTTTTTTATTTCAATATGATCAAGTACACACAAATTAATAATGTCCCAAAAATAATTTTGATTTCACATAGGACTTTCTGAAATGATATGAAAACATATTTTAACTAATTAAGTAGACGGACTGTGACGTCACATCCTATTCTGTACATTTTAATTACTGAAAAAAATCAGTTTCTCAATTGAGAAATTGCATTTGAAGTTGTTCATATAATTAAATAAAAAGACGACTCAAATGTATTCTACTATTCTTATTATTTGTTAATTACTAATTTCATTTGTTTTAATAGATGGGATGAAGCATATCCGGTTTAGTTACATCTCAATGTACATTTTATCCGTGTAGTCAATATCGCGATATACCACGATAGTTATCGTGATACGGTATATGGAAACGATACAACTCGTCATATGTATCAATTGTACTTAAATTTTGGTAGATATCGCTCGATATCGTGATATGGTATGATATGATATATATTGCAATACGATACGATATTTACGATATTTGTTCAAGCAGAACGATACGATCCGTGAGGGAAACCGATATACGATATTTTCATATTTGACAGCATTGCATTTTATGTATCTATACTTTACAGCTTAAATAATTATTTGACTGAAAAAAAGTGAAATAATTCAATAAACAATAATCATATTAAAATTTGATTAATTTGATTGTTAATTCATAAAACAAAATTAATTTGATTTCGTTTTTTAAAAACCCATTCAATTTTGTGATGAGCCTTATTTGGGCCAAGTCCTTAATGTAAACTAATATCAAATTCCAATCCAAACAATGCCCTAAGCCCAATTAGTTTCGGCTCATTTGAAGAGGGACCCGGCCCGAAGTTCAAGACCCTTCTTTGTTTTTTGTCCTTTTCTCAATTTTCTTTTAATATATATATTTAGTTGATATGTGTTAAATTTAAACTATATAATATTAATTTTAACTATATAATGCATTTCGTATTAAATTTGAGCTAATTAAAATCAAACTCAAGACCAATTAAGCTATTCTTTTAAACATAAAGAAATACTCCAAGCAAATGCAATAATGTACTAAATAAATCATTTTTCACATTATTCATGTATCAAAAGATGTATACAAATTCGGATACCAAATCTCTGTTCACCTATGCAGCACGGACGCAGATACGGAAACGACTATACAGAAAAACGGACATGGAAAATGATTTGTCCAAAAAATAGAATTACAGAAACTTGGAGGAAATATTAAAAATATAAATGTATATTTACATGAGATTTGAGGTTTCATGTGGATTATTGAAAATATATATATATACACACACATATTACTATATTAATATTACATATTACATATTAGACACAGAGTATCACATGGCTAGGGGACTTATTTTATTATTACTTAAATATAATTAATAGAAAAAGACTGAGAAATCAAAAATCTAAAAATTAAATTATTTTTTAGGTGTAAACTTGTTCAGATAATTTGAGACCATGTCAGTTGACCTTTGACCTTTGTTGACAACTGAAATATTTAATTTTCACATGCTTTTCTTTACATGCAATTAATGAAATTTATTTCTGTCATTTGTAATGAAAAAATAAGATAAAGAAAATTTAAATAAAAGGATCCCATTTTCCCCTGTAGTAAACATTTTATTGCATTAATATTTGGTATGCCATTCATTTACCTAATTCAATAATTCTCAATAAATAAATTCCAAAAAACCTAATTCAATAATTCAACCCCTCCCTATACCAAAAGATGTGTAGTAGTAGGTGATATATTATTTAGGCCATCAAATTAGTGTCAATTTCAAATAATCTTTTTCTCAAAAAAAAAAAAAAAAAAAAAAAAAAAATCAAATAACTTCTAAAAAATTCCAATTTATCCAGGGCACAGAAGTACAATGATTTTCAAAGAACTAATATTATTTTATTTTTGAAAATTTTGAAACGGAATTAGGAAACGATTTTTCGCTTAAAAATTTATTTTTATTGTCGAAAGCATGTATTTCGATCAGATCTTTCCGATTTTCATTCCCAGTTATAAATTTATTTCTCATTATAAGTTTGCTATTTATAACTCAAACCTATCAGTCTATCACCATGAAATCCATAAAAACTAAAAAAAAAAAAAAAACAATTGCTCTTTGTTTTTGTGTCTTTTTCTATATTTTTAGTATTATTAGAATTTTATTATTATAAACTATTTTTTAATTACTTTTATGAATTTATTTTATATTTTTATGTTTATTATATTTAAAATAAAAATTATAAAGAAAAGAAAAGAGCTCGCACGCCGGCTCGCGAGCTCACCTACAAATAAGAATGAGCTCGGGCTCGACTCTCAAGAAAGCTAGCTCGAACTCGAACTTTTGTCGAGTCAGCTCATCGAGCTCACGAACCGGGT